ATATAAAGCCTGCTTGAGTGTGGTGATCGTAGTGGATTAGCTTTCTGATGTGCTGTTGGATTCAGTTAACTAGTATTTTCTTGAGAATTTTGCATTTATGTTTACCAGGGATACTGGCCTAACATTTTATCATTTTGCCTCTGCCAGGTTTTATTATCAGGATGATGCTGGCCTCACAGAATAAGTTAGGCAGTAGTCCCTCCTCGATTTTTTGGAATAATTTCAGTAGGATTAGTACCAGGTCTTTTTACATCTGGTAGAATATGGCTGTGAATCCATCTGGTACAGGGCTTTTTCTGGTTGGTAGCTTTTTAATTACTGATTCAATTTCAGAACTCATTATTGGTCTGTTCAGGATTTCAATTTCTTCCTGGTTCAATCTTAGGAGGTTGTAGTTTCAAGGAATGTATCCATTTCTTCTAGGTTTTTTAGTGTATGCATAGAGGTATTCTTAATAGTCTCTGAGAGAATTTTGTATTTCTGTGGGGTAGGTGGTAATGTCATCTTTAACATTTCTGATTGTGTTTACTTGCATCTTCTTTTTTTCTTTATTATTCTAGCTAGTGGGCTACCAGTGTTGTTTATTCTTCTGAAAAACCAACTTACGGTTTTTGATCTTTGTATAGATTTTCACATCTATTTTATTCAGTTCAACTCTGATATTGGGTTGTTTTTTTTTTTTTTTTCCTGCTGCTTTCCTTTCTTTTGGGGTTGGTTTTTTTTTTTTTTTTTTTCTTTTAGTTCCTCTAGGTGTGATGTTATTTTGTTAACTTGAGATTTATCTAACTTCTCGATGTAGCCATTTTGCACTATAAACTTTCAATACTGCTTTAGCTGTGTCCCAAAGATTCTGGTACGTTGTATCTCTGTTTTCATTCGTTTTAAGGAATTTTTTTATTTGTCTTGATTTCATTCTTTACCCAAAACATATTCAGGAGAAGATGTTTAATTTCCATGTAATCGTATGGTTTTGAGAGCTCCTCTAGGTATTGATTTCTATTTTTACTGTGCTATGGTCTGAGAGTGTGGTTGGTGTGACTTTTTTTCATTGTTGAGAAAGAGTCTTGCTCTGTTGCCCAGGCTGGAGTGCAGTGGCAAGATCTCCACTCACTGCAAGCTCCACCTCCCAGGTTCATGCTATTCTCCTGCCTCAGCCTCCTGAGTAGCTGGGACTACAGGTGCCCGCCACCACGCCGGCTAATTTTTTGTATTTTTTAGTAGAGACGGGGTTTCACCATGTTAGCCAGGATGGTCTCGATCTCCTGACCTCGTGATCTACCCGCCTCGGCCTCCCAAAGTGCTGGGATTACAGGCATGAGCCACCGCGCCCAGTGACTTTTTTTTTTTTTAATTGTTGAGTATTGCTTTATGGCCAAGTATGTGATTGATCTTAGAATATGTGACATGTGCAGATGAGAAGAATGTATATTCTGCGGTTGTTGGGTATTCTGTAGATTTCTGTAAGGTCTATTTGGTCAAATGTCCAGTTTAGCTTCCAAATATCTTTGTTAGCTTTCTGCCTTGATGAAGAATCTAACACTGTCAGTGGGGTGTTGAAGTCGCCTGCTATTATTGTCTGGTTGTCTAAGTCTTGTTGTAGGTCTCTAAGAACTTGTTTTATGAATATGGGTGCTCCAGTGTTTGGCGTATATGTATTTGGGATAGTTAAGTCTTGTTGAATTGAATCATTTATCACTATGTGATGCCCTTCTTTGCCTTTTTTGATCATTGTTGGTTTAAAGTCTGTTTTGTGTGAAATAGCAATCCCTGTTCTTTTTTTTCCCCCATTTGCTTGATCTTTCTCTATCCTTTTACTTTGTGCCTATGGGTTTCATTGCATGTGAGGTGTGTCTAATGTAAAGAGAGTATAGAGTTGGGTCTCATTTCTTTTTCCAACTTGCCACTTTGTGCCTTCTAAGCGGCGTATTTAGCCTATTTACATTCAAGGTCAATAGTGGTAAGTGAGGATTTGATCCTGTCATTATGTTGTTAGCTAGTTGTTATGTGGACTTTATTGTATGGTTGGTTTGTAGTATCGGCAGGATATGTGCTTAAGTTGTTTCTGTGGTGGCAGATATTCATCTTTTGCTCCCAGGTTTGGCACTGTTTTAAGGACTTCTTGTAAGGGAAGTCTGGTAGTATCAAATTCCCTTAACATTTGTTTGTCTGAAAAATATTTTATTTATCCTTCACTTATGAAGTTTAGTTTGCCTGGGCATTAAATTCTTGGTTCAACTTTCTTTCTTTTAAAAATGCTGAGTATAGGCCCCCAGTCTCTTCCAGCTTGTAAAGTTTCTGAAAGGTCCACTGTTAGCCTGATGGGGCTCCCTTTGTAGGTAACCTGTCACTTCTCTCTAGCTGCCTTTAATATTTTTCTTTTGTATTGACCTTGGAGAATCTGATGACTATGTGTCTTGGGGATGGTCATCTTGTATAAAATCATCTCACCTCACAGGGGTTCTCTGAATGTCCTGAATTTGCATGTCAACCTCTCTAGTGTGGTTGGGGAAATGTTCATAGACAGTATCATCAAATATGTTTTCCAGGTTCCTTGTTGTCTCTCCATCTCTTTCTGGAATGCCAATGTGTTATAGGTTTGGTCTTTTTATATATCCCATATTTCTTGTAGGTTTTATTCACTTTTTAAAATTCTTTTTTCTTTATTTTTTTTCTGCTGCATTGGTTCGAAGGAGTAGTGTTTGAGCTCTGAGATTATTTTCCAAGCTTAGTCTAGTCTGTTATTAGTGCTTCTGATTACATTGTGAAATTGCAATTGCTGTAGTTAATTTCTTATTTCCAGAAGTTCAGTCTGACTCTTTCTTTTTCTTTTTTCTTTCTTTCTTTTTTTTTTTTTTTTTTTTGAGACAAGGTTTTGCTCTGTTGCACAGGCTGGAGTGCAGGGGCATGACCTTGGCTCACTGCAACCTCCATCTCCTGTCTCCTGGGTCCAAGGGACTTGTGCCTCAGCCTCCCGAGTAGCTGGGATTACAGGTGCCTGCCACCACACCCAGTTAATTTCTGTATTTATAGTAGAGATAGGGTTTCACCATGTTGGTCAGGCTAGTTTTGAACTCCTGACCTCAAGTGATCCACCTACCTCAGCCTCCCAAAGTGCTGGGATTACAGGCGTGAGCCACCGTGCCCGGCCCAGTTTGATTCTTTCTTAATATGGTAATGTTATATTTAAATGCTTGGATTGCTTTATTGGTTTCCTTGGATTTTTCCTTCCTTGCCATCCAGACTCTGAATTCTGTCATTTCAGCCATTTAAGCATGGTTACAAACCATCGCTGGAGAGCTAATGCAGTCGTTTGGAGACTTTTAGAGTTGCCAGAAATCTTGCACTGGTTCTTTCCCATCTGTGTGGGCTGATGTTCCTTGACTCTTTGAAGTTGCTGTCCTTTGGATGGGGCTTTCTGCTTTTATGTTATTTGATGCCCTTGGGGGTTTTACTGTGGTATAAGTTGGGTTTAGTTGAATGGTTTCAATTATGGGTGCTTTCACAGGCCAAGGCTCAGCTGAGCACTCCTGAGCTGCATGCTGTAAACCTGGGGAGTGGGGACTAAGCCCTTGGCTTTGTTCTCTGGCTGCCTGGGGTGAAGCACCTGCTGTGCTGGAGGGGCTGAGGTGTTCTCTGTCTGCTGGCAAAAGTGTTCCAGCAGAACACTGTGGGGACTGCAGAGAGTGCACTGTGGCTGGGGGATGGGGAGGCCACAAGCAAGTGTGCACACTTGGGCAGTGCAGGGGGGCTACCTGCAAGTGTGTGCCAATGGGGTGGCATGGCCGTGGTGTGGGTGAGTGCAGCACCATGGTGTGAGGGGTCCCGGCAATGCCTCCCATCTTTTTTAATTGCGTCTATTATTCCACTATTTCCATATGTATACATCATTTAGCTACCACTTATAAGTGATAACACGCAGTATTTGACTTTCTGTTTCTGAGTTATTTCACTTAAGAGAATGGCCCCCAGTTCCAGCCATGTTGCTGCAAAAGCCATGATTTTTTTTAAATGACTGAGTATTATTCCATGGTGTGTATGTGTGTATATATATATTTATCACATTTTCTTTATCCAATCATCTGTCAATGGACACTTAAGTTGATTCGATGACTTTGCTGCTGTGAATAGTGCTACACTAAGCATGTAAGTACAGGCATCTTTTTGATATAATGGTTTATTTTCCTTTAAGTAGATACCCAATAGTGGAATTGCCAAATCAAATTACAGTTCTATTTTTATTTGATAAGTCTCCACACTGTTTTCCATAGAAGCTGTACTAATTTACATTCCCACCAATAGTGTATAAGCATTCCCTTTTCCCTGCATCCACACCATCTGTTGGTTTTTTACTTTTTAATAATAGCCATTCTGATCAGTATAAGATGGCATCTCAGTGTGTTTATGTGGTGTGTTTTCTCTCATCATCTCTCTCCATAACCTCAAACTCCTGAGCTCAAGCAATCCTCTTGTTTCAGCCTCCCATTGACCACTGTCTAGGACTACACGTGTATGCCATCATGCCTTGCTCTTTTTTTTTTTCTTTTTTTAAATAGATATAAGTAAGATCTTACTATATTGCCCGGGCTGGTCTCAAACTCCTGACGTCAAGCAATTATTTTGTGTTGGCATCCCAAAGCACTGAGATTACATGAGCTACCTCCCTAAAAGAGGGGAAGTGAGCCAGAAGTTCTGGGCCCAGCCCACGATCTGAATCGGGGCGAATATCCCCGCCTCCTTACCTCAATTTTCCTAAGCTAGAAAGGACCTTTCGACCCTCCGACTTGTGTTCGTAGTAAAGCGGCGGCCCTAAGATGCCGCAGGGGTCTTTGTGCACACTTACATGGAGTCGGCTGTGCTTGGTGAGTTCCCACACCCGGTAGATGTGAGGAAAAAACTGCCTTACTCAGAAGGCGTCGTCCCTTGCGTCCGCCGCAGACTCTGGGCCCAGGACAGGGACATTTTCTGCGGGCCTGGGCGGCGGAGGCGGGACTTCCGCTTCTTGGCGTGACGTCATCTCCGTGAGCCGGGTTGGCGCTGAAACAGTGTGGGGCTTGGACCGCTGGGTGGGCGCGTCCAGAGGCCTGAGCAGGGAAGGGTAATGAGGCTGTTACGCCCCTTCTCCGCGTCTTGGCGGGAGCCTGACCCCCTACTTGTTCCCTAACGGGGTGTTCCGCCGGCTCCCGCCGGGGCCTAGACCTCCACAGCCGCCCTCCGTCTCCTCAGCCCCGACGCTGCGCCCGCTTTGTGCGCATTTTTCTCTGGGGAAACTGAGGCTCTGAGTGCGAAAGTCAGCCGAGGTCGCCCCACCCAGGACAGAGGAGGGCTGGGGTCGACTGAGCCGCGGCATTCCTGGGCCCCGCTAGGGCTGCAGGGTCCCAGGATGGCAGCCTCGGCGCAGGTGAGTGGACGAGGTTTCGGCCTTGCTGCTGCTCTGCTCCTTCTGGAGGCCTCCTGGGCAGGCGGAAGCCAAGACAGCCACAGGATTTTTCTTTGTCGCCGTCGTTTATTTAAGAGAAGTGGTCGTAGCTTGTCACTTCTTTTATCCGCAGTCCTGCAACAGTGTTGGCCTCCGACAGGTGCTCAGTCCTTGGTAGAAGAATGAATGATGCTTCCTTCCAAGGCTCTAATCACACTTCCCCTAAATCCAGCCTCCTCTGCTGCCTGCCAGCCCCTACCTCATCCACCTGGCCAACCACCCCTGACCTTGTCTCTCCATTTTTCCCTGGTCCTTTGCTGTTCAGAGTCACCAACCTGACCGTGCAGTCGTCTTCCATTTTCCAGCCTTTCTCTTTGCACTTCCCTTTACCTCGAACACTGCCCCTATAACTTCGCAGGGCCTCCCTCTCACATCCTTCTGGCCTCTGTCCAAATGTCACCAATTTGGAGGTGCCTTTTTTGGCAATTCCGGTTGAAGTGGCGCGTTACACACTTGCCCAGAGTCTGGCATTTTTGTATAGGGAATCTGACGATATTTAAAAAGCTTGCTGTGTGAGTTTGTCTAGGATATTATGTGAACAAAGAGAAAAGAAATAATTGCAAAAAGTGACAGCTGATCATCAAGAGTCCAATCATCAAGGCTAATTGGCAGGCATTATTTAACCCTCAGCTCATTTAATCCTGAACTCCTTAGAATTAGGTTCTCTTGGCCGGGCGCGGTGGCTCAAGCCTGTAATCCCAGCACTTTGGGAGGCCGAGACGGGCGGATCACGAGGTCAGGAGATCGAGACCATCCTGGCTAACACGGTGAAACCCCGTCTCTACTAAAAAATACAAAAAACTAGCCGGGCGCGGTGGCGGGCGCCTGTAGTCCCAGCTACTCGGGAGGCTGAGGCAGGAGAATGGCGTGAACCCGGGAGACGGAGCTTGCAGTGAGCTGAGATCCGGCCACTGCACTCCAGCCTGGGCGGCAGAGCGAGACTCCGTCTCAAAAAAAAAAAAAAAAAAAAAAAAAAAGATTTAGGTTCTCTTGTCATCACTGTTTCACACAAGAGCAGCTTGAGGCTCACATAGGTTCAATTACCTGCCTTACATCACTGTAGCTCTTAAGTATCAGAAACTAACAACTGGTATGTCTACCGTCACAGCCTGTGTTTTTACCCTCTTCTTTGCCCGCAATGGTTAGGGAGGCCTGGGATGATACCTAAAGTAAACTCTGCAAGGTGAGCAGGCCTCCTTCTAGCAGATGGTCTTGGGTAATGGGAGTCATGGCATTTCATACTGGTGGAACTGTGTGGACTAAAAAAGAAAAAAAATGGTATATTGGTGGTTTAAGGAGTCCACAGGGGACCCGTGTGGCTTCCGCAGTGGTTTCCTGAGTGGTTTTCTCCTATACTCTTGGGACACAAGATTTTGTGGTCTTTTGCTAGATGTGCCTTCCTCCTTAGCCAGGACAGACATCATAGCCAGTCAGGGGCCCATGTTCTCATGGCTACAACCTGACTCTTGTTCCTTGCTCCTGAAGTAACCTGACCTCAGGGATACTTGCTGGTAGGACTCAAACAGGAAAAGGTAGTGATAGCTTGTTGTGGATTCTTCCTATGAGAATGGGCATCTGTGAGGCCCAGAAGTAGTCTCCAAGGAAGCAGATGCAGGTCCAGGCCCTGCCACCTTTGAGGCAGGTGCCACCACCTCAGGTGACTCTTCTGTGAGGTAGGTGATTATGACTATGCTGCTCTGCCCATGTCCATGAAAATATTTTCAAGTGGCTAACGCCAGCACAGTGGCATGTGTCTGTAGTTCCAGCTTGGGAGGCTAAGGCAGGAGGATCATGAGTTCAAACCCAGCCTGGGCAAAATAGACCCTGTCTCAAAAAAAAAAAAAAAAAACCCTGAAAATATTTTCAGGGTGGCTCAAATGGATGTATTTCAGTGTTTCCCATCCTCATTAACTGTGCATTAACTTTGCTAATGAAGGAATGTCAGGTTGCATGATGAGAATATAGACCATAGGGCCCTGGGTTCAAATTCTGTCTCTTCTGATAAGACATGTGACTTTGGGTAGACTAGTAGAGGTCCTGGACCTCAAGTCTCTTGAGTGTGACGTGGAGATGATGATGGTGAACTCAGGGGCTGTGGCCCTTTGCCTCAATGTTTCCTTTACAACTTTTCTTCAGCTCTTTTGACTATTCTTGGTGAAGTGGAAAACCCTGCTGTATTGACCTGGACATCAAAGCTCAGATAAATGAAATGAGATTTCCAAGGTCACTTAGCAGGCTTGTGTTGATTTCAGGAATTTGGTTTTAAACCTCAGGAGTCTGGCTCCTGAGCTGGGGACTTTTAGTCACTTGACCATGGCATGTAAAGCCATTAGCGTGAGGCAGGCTCACAGGCAGGATCAGTAAGACTCAGGTGCTGTTGTTGTTACTGCTACTGGTGTTATTGTTTGTTATTATTCTTTCCCATTCCTCTGATATCCCAGCACACTGACTGTCTGTGCCTCTCACTCCACTTAGGATTGTCCCAACCTTATTTCTGTGTCAAGTGTCTTCCTGCATAGCTTCTCTCTCTTCACTGCTGTAATTTTTTTTTTTTTTTTTTTTTTTTTTTTTTTTTTTGAGACGGAGTCTCGCTCTGTCACCCAGGCTGGAGTGCAGTGGCACAATCTTGGCTCACTGCAAGCTCTGCCTTACGGGTTCACGCCGTTCTCCTGCCTCAGCCTCCTGAGTAGCTGGGACTACAGGTGCCCGCCACTACGCCTGGCTAATTTTTTTTGTATTTTTAGTAGAGACGGGGTTTCACCATGTTAGCCAGGATTATCTCGATCTCCTGACCTCGTGATCTGCCCGTCTCAGCCTCCCAAAGTGCTGGGATTACAGGCGTGAGCCACTGCGCCTGGCCGACACTGCTGTAATTTATCCAAGGCAGTGTCCACATTCCCCTTATGCCTGGCACAGATCATGGCCCTCTGGAGATGCTTGGTGATTGGATTCTTGTGTCACTGTGCATCTTTTGCAGTGCTGGAGTGACAAGTTCTAATTGTATTCCACAGTTCCAAGGGAAACACTACTATCTCTGTTTAATTTTCCAGGTATCTGTGACCTTTGAGGATGTGGCTGTGACATTCACCCAGGAGGAGTGGGGACAGTTGGATGCAGCCCAGAGAACCTTGTATCAGGAGGTGATGCTGGAGACCTATGGGCTTCTCGTGTCTCTGGGTAAGGCCCCTTCTGGTCCAGTCCTCACTTAGGATTGAGTTCTCTTACTCATGTTCCCCTCTCTCCTCCACAGCCTGCTTGTTCTGAGGCTTCTGGCACCACACAGGGGTGTTCAGCATTTGCTCTGAGTGTAGCACTTGGGAGACCAGGGTCTGGTGTCCAGGAGTCCACTCCCATCTCCACTGCTTATGATCCCTGTATTCCTGGGCAAGTTAAGGAATCTCTGTGCCTCAATTTTTCTCATGAATAAAAAGGGCCAGGCCAGGCACGGTGACTCACTCCTGTAATCCCAGCACTTTGGGAGGCCACGGCAGACAAATCAGGAGGTCAGGAGTTTGAGACAAGCCTGGGCAACATGATGAAACCCCATCTCTACTAAAAATACAAAAAATTAGCCGGGTATGGTGGCGGGTGCCTGTAATCCTAGCTACTCGGGAGGCTGAGGCAGGAGAATACCTTGAACCCGGGAGGCGGAGCTTGCAGTGAGCCAAGTGCGTCGCTGCACTCTAGCCCGGGCGACAGTGTGAGAGAGACTCCATCTGAAAAAAAAAAAGGGGGGGGGGCAATATAGTGTTTATTTCACAGGGCTAGTGTGAGGGCAAATGGTTCAGTACAGTGTGTTGTGGTAGGTGGGTGGGTGCAGGTTAGCAATTGTGACCCCTGTTGCTGTCACTGTTGTTACTGCTCTCTAAATCATTGTCCTCATAATCAGCAGGATCACACTTGGACTCAGCATTTTTTGGAACAACTTTGTATAGTTCTGTGGTTAAATTGGCCAGATGCTTTTGATGACTCGACTCAGGTGTCCATTTTAGCTTGGCCATTTGCCATTTCCCAGATTTTGGCAATCACTTGCTCTGCCTGAGCCTCGATTTCTTCATGTATAATGTGGTCCTGATTGCAGTACATTCTTAATGTGCATCCTGTGAAGAAATCCTAAAATTGAATTTTTCATGCCGGGCCCATAGGAGTAGCAATGTAGTGCTTTGCTTAGAATGTAAAAAAAAGCCTTAGATCAGTGAAGAAACTTACCTTTCTCCTGAATGGAGATTCATTATCTCAAATATGTTATTTCTTTTCTAAACTAATGCCTAAATTTAATTCAGTGTTTATAAAATACAATGCATTTAAATTGCTTGGCATATTCGCTAGGTTATAGTTACATTGTACATCAGTTATTGACTTACTATTAGGAGTAAAGTTCTGTGGCAGGGTGGCATATTGATTAAGGACTTGGATTCGAGAGCCACAGCAGGAAAGTCTCTCCAAGAAGTGACATTTGAGCTGAGACCCAAAGAGTGAGTTAATTAGAAGGAACAAGAGAGAGGAGCAAGTAGTATTCCAGGTAGGCAGGCCGGCGTGTGCAAAGGCCCTGAGGTGGTGGTGAGCACGATCCTGACAAAGCTGAAGGAAGGTCTGATTCACCTTTTCCACTGCACTGTCATTGAACCCAGTGCCAGGCACATAGCAAAAATGAGTGAACATTTGCTTAGAGATGACTGATGAATCCCACCTTGTGTTTTTGTGGGTCCTACTGCCTTGCCATTAACTTCTCTATAGAGTACTTATGTATTTTACCCCCTTATATTTTGAAAAGTTTTGGGCTATATGTGCAGATCAGCTCATACAGTCTTAACCCTGAAGGAAATATATTATCTCACCGAATAAGCTTAGTGGTAAGGCTGGCTCCTGGGTTGGTGGGTGTCAAGCCAGTTGTTTTTCTTTGCTCCCACTTTCTTTTTTATTTTTTGGAGACAGGGTCTCACTCTGTAATCCAGGCTGGAGTGCAGTGATGTGATCTCAGCTCATTGTAACCTCGGCCTTCTGGGCTCAAGTGATCCTCCCACCTCAGTCTCCTAAGTAGCTGGGACCACAGGTGCATGACACCAGGTGTGGCTAATTTTTGCATTTTTAGTAGAGATGGGGTTTCACCATGTTGCCCAGGCTGGTCTCAGACTCCCAAAGTGTTGAGATTACAAGCGTGAGCCGCTGTGCTCAGCCTCTTTGCTCTCTCCTCTTGGTAAGGTTTTTAGGCAGGTTCCCTCACAGAATTCCCGGGATGCTGCATGGGAGCAGGAGTGGCAGCCTCCCTCATTTAGCCCTTCCTGGAATGAAGGCTTTCTCTCTCCTTGGAGTGGCTGGTATAGGTCACCTGCCTACCTCAGAGTACAGATGATCAGGGTTGCCATTTGCAAGATGATGGAGACCAGGGCTTTTCTACCTGCCATGGGGACTAATTATAAAATCCCTTCAGAAAATTTGTCTGAACAGGGTTGAGATTTTTGTAGGATGGAGATTAAAAGTAATTGATACTGTCACACAGCCAGCACTACTGCTTACAGTCTCTGGGGCCAATGAGGATGGTTTTTTGTTGTTTTTGTTTTTTTTTTTTTGAGACGCAGTTTCGCTCTTGTTCCCCAGGCTGGAGTGCAGTGGCGTGATCTCAGCTCACTGCAACCTCCGCCTCCCTGGTTCAGCCTCCCGAGTAGCTGGGGCTAATTTTTTGTATTTTTAGTAGAGATGGGGTTTCACCATGTTGGGCAGGCTGATCTTGAACTCCTGACCTCAGGTGATCCACCTGCCTTGGCCTCCCAAAGTGCTGGGATTACAGGCATGACCCACTGTGCCCAGCCAGATGGTGTTTTTGTAGTTGTTTTATGGTCACAGTTTAACATTTTCTTTGCTTAGCTGAGAATAGTTTCATTTCATGGTCTTCCCCATCCTGAAGTCCCAGAACAGATTGAGAGGTTTCTTTCTTCTAACCTAACTCCCTGTGTCCTCTTTCGTTCTCCATGCACAGGCTGTCCTTTGTTCGAACCAGAGCTGATCTACCAGTTGGATCGCAGAGAGGAGCTATGGATTGTTAAGAAAGACCTCTCCCAAAGCTCCTATCCAGGTAGGAGCCAGCAGCTGGGAAGGTGGGGATCATGGCAGCTTGCACATGGAAAAGTGAACACTGCCTCTGAATTTTGCGGGCAGTCTTATTGTGGTCTCTCTGGGTGCTTGGGATCCATGGAGCCTCTTTTTTTTTTTTTCCTCAGACAGGGTCTCACTCTCTCACTCAGGCTGGAGTGGTGTGATCATAGCTCACGGAAGCCTCAACCTCCTGGGCTCAAGGGATTCTCCCACCTCAGCCTCCCAGGTAGCTGAGACTACAGGCATGTGCACCGTGCCTGGCTGAGTTTTTAAAATTTTTTATAGAGATGGTCTTGTTATGTTGCTGAGGCGGGTCTCAAACACCTGGGCTCAAGCTCTCCTTCTGCCTCAGCCTTCGAAAATGCTGAGCCACCAAGCCTGGCCTCTTACATCTTAAATTTAAGTACTTCCAAGTTAGGTCCCAGATGTATATACTTCACTAACCCATGATAAAAAATTATGGCTAACATGTATTTATTTTTTACTCAGTGCCTTGCTTTCTGCCGAACGTAGTATATGTAGTGTTTCACTTCATCTTCACTATAGTCCTGTAAGGCAGACCCTATTTTTGGCCCAATTTTTTTTTTCCCCTGAGACAGAGTCTCTCACTGTTGCCCTGGCAGGAGTACGATGGCACGATCTCGGCTCGCTACAACCTCTGTCTCCCGAGTTCAAGTGATTCTCCTACCTCAGCCTCCCGAGTAGCTGGGATTACAGGCATGTGCCACCACACCTGGCTAATTTTGTATTTTCAGTAGAGATGGGGTTTCTCCATTTTGGTCAGGCTGTTCTCAAACTCCTGACCTTAGGTGATCCACCCGCCTCAGCCTCCCCAAGTGCTGGGATTACAGGCATGAGCCATCGTGCCCAGCATTATTTTCTCATCCAAGATCTACTCTAGGCTGGGCATGGCGACTTATGCCTGTAATCCCAGCACTTTGGGAGGCTAAGGGTACTGTTTCATCTTCTTGTTCTCACTGAAATGCTGATCTTGTTTCTTCTTCTTCTTCTTTTTTTTGAGATGGAGTCTTGCTCCGTTGCCCAAGTTGAAGTGTAGTGGCACAATCTCGGCTCACTGCAACCTCTGCCTTCTGGGTTCAAGTGATTCTCCTGCCTTAGCCTCCTGAGTAGCTGGGATTACAGGCGTGCGCCACCATGCCCAGCTAATTTTTGTATTTTTAGTACAGACAGGTTTCACCATGTTGGCCAGGCTGGTCTCGAACTCCTGACCTCAGGTGATCTGCCTGCCTTGGCCTCCCAAAGTGCTGGGATTACAGGCATGAGCCACTGTCCCTGGCCTTTGTTTCTTCTATAATGCCATCTCTAATAAGCCTTTTTGTGTATTGTATTCCTTCCAGGTGACAACACAAAACCCAAGACCACAGAGCCTAGCTTTTTTCACCTGGCCTTGCCTGAGGAAGTCTTACTCCGGGAACGACTGACACAGGGAGTCTCAAAGGACTCCCAGTTAGGGCAAGCCAAGGATCAAGGTGGACCATCTGAAATGCAAGAAGTCCACTCGAAAGTAGGGATAGACTCCCAGGGGGAGAAGCTCCTGGAGAAAATGAGTTCTGAACGTGATGGTTTGGGGTCAGATGATGGTATATGTACAAGGATTACACAAAAACAAGTTTCAACAGAAGATGATCTCTATGAATGTGATTCACATGGACCAGTTACAGATTCCTTGATTCGTGAAGAGAAAAATTCCTATAAATGTGAGGAATGCGGGAAAGTGTTTAAAAAGAATTCCCTCCTTGTTCAGCATGAACGGATTCACTCTCGAGTGAAGCCCTATGAATGCACAGAGTGTGGGAAAACCTTTAGCAAGAGCACTCATCTTCTTCAGCACCACATCATCCACACCGGGGAGAAGCCCTATAAGTGCATGGAGTGTGGAAAGGCTTTTAACCGCAGGTCACACCTCACACGGCACCAGCGGATTCACACCGGAGAGAAGCCTTACAAGTGCAGTGAATGCGGAAAGGCCTTCACCCACCGCTCCACTTTCGTCTTGCATAACAGGAGCCACACTGGAGAAAAACCCTTTGTGTGCAAAGAGTGTGGCAAAGCCTTTCGAGATAGGCCAGGTTTCATTCGACACTACATCATCCACACGGGAGAGAAGCCCTATGAGTGCATTGAGTGTGGGAAGGCCTTCAACCGCCGGTCATACCTCACGTGGCACCAGCAGATTCACACTGGAGTGAAACCCTTCGAATGCAACGAGTGTGGAAAAGCCTTTTGTGAGAGTGCAGACCTCATTCAGCACCACATCATCCACACCGGGGAGAAGCCCTATAAGTGCGTGGAGTGTGGGAAGGCCTTCAACCGCAGGTCACACCTCAAGCAGCACCAGCGGATTCACACTGGGGAGAAGCCTTATGAATGCAGTGAATGCGGAAAGGCCTTCACCCACTACTCCACTTTTGTCTTGCATAAAAGGACTCACACTGGAGAAAAACCCTATGAATGCAAAGAATGTGGAAAAGCTTTTAGTGATAGGGCAGACCTCATTCGACACTTCAGCATCCACACTGGAGAGAAACCCTATGAGTGCATGGAGTGTGGGAAAGCCTTCAACCGCAGCTCACACCTTACGAGGCACCAACAGATTCACACTGGAGAGAAACCCTATGAATGCATCCAGTGTGGGAAGGCCTTTTGCCGGAGCGCAAACCTTATTCGACACGCCATCATTCACACTGGAGAGAAGCCGTATGAATGCCGTGAGTGTGGAAAGGCTTTTAATCGCAGCTCCTCCCTCACACATCATCAGCGGATTCATACTGGGAGAAACCCTACCATGGTGACAGATGTGGGAAGACCTTTTATGACTGCACAGACTTCAGTCAACATCCACAGACTTTTATTAGGGAAAGAGTTTTTGAATATCACCACTGAAGAAAATCTGTGGTGAAAGGAACATCTTACCATCTGGCCATTCATACTGAAGAGAAACTTCATAAGCATCCTGTCTGAGAAAACCTGTCATAGATTATCATTTGTCATCTGAACAATCATGTTAGAAATTGAAGCAGCCTGGAGTCTTATTCTCCATCTGAGAATTCACCCATGAGAGAGACCCAGTGGTTACTATGCACTTAGGAAAACCTTCAGCCACATCTTTCTTCTTAGTTTACAGTGACATATTATCTCAGGGATATTTAAACAAAGGAGAAGGAGATATAGGGAAGAGGAATAAAACACAGCTTCTTTTAGACTTGTCTTACAAGCCTATGGCAATTTGTCATCCCTTTTTTATTTTATTTGGGAGAGGGAAATGTTTCAGAAACAAAAAATCTCATCCCCTTTATTTTTCCTCTTTGTACATTCACTGCTGCCCAGTGTCTGAACAGTTAAGACGAATGGGGGTTTGAAAACATTTGGTGAAAGCTTCCTTAGTCCTGCAACATTCTCCACTCTTGAGGTGTAGGAGCATACATCTTTATAAAAAATATGGAGGCTTGAGTTATGAAACACTTTTATAAGGAGATAAGGATGTATGTATGTTTGGACACATTGTCCACTTCAGATGCTTGTTTAAAAAAACTTTCACTGGATGTCTTTACCCAATACACATACTTTTTCTTGATGTGGGTTTACTTTTTTTTTTTTTTTTTTAGTTTTCCTGGGATAGGGATGATAGTGTAATTGTTCATGCACAGAGTAATCCTGGGCGGGCATCTTAGTTTTTTCCCTATGATTGTGGTTTCTCAGCTTCTTTACCTCTCCTTTGAGAGAGTTAGATCCACCTCACTTTTCTAAAGGTCAGATTAAGGCCCCCAAAAAATACAGTATGTAGCTGAATTCATTTAAAAGATCGTGATAAACTCAGAAAAACAAACACATAGAAGGAATGTCATTTTTAATCTTTTTAAACAGTGTGTGAAAATTCTCTTTAACTGGAATTTTAACACGTAAGCCAGCATGCATATATGTAGGTAAGTGTGACTTTCACAGTTGTCACCATGGACTTAGGCTTGATTAAAATGATACACATTTAGAGCATTTTGGAATTCCTTTTTGATAACATTTTTAAGACTAGATTTTGAGCCACATGTGATAGTATTACCTCATATTAAAAATATATATTGTACAGTAGTAAAAATAATCATGTATTCACTTTGAACTCCTCAAAGCCTTATTTATTTATTTACTTACTTGGTTTAGGAGCAGAAGTTTAATAGGCAAAAGAAAGAGAAAGGAGGCTGGGCGTGGTGGCTCACGCCTGTAATCCCAGCACTTTGGGAGGCCGAGGCAGGCGGATCACAAGGTCAGGAGATCGAGATCATCCTGGCTAACTCGGTGAAACCCCGTCTCTACTAAAAATACAAAAAATTAGCCGGGCGCGGTGGTGGGGCCAGCTACATGGGAGGCTGAGGCAGGAGAACGGCTTGAACCTGGGAGGCAGAGCTTGCAGTGAGCCGAGATCGTGCCACTCACTCCAGCCTAGGGGACAAAGCGAGACTCCATCTCAAAAAAAGGAGACTAGCTCTCTGCTATGAGAGAGAGGGGTGTCCTAGTGGGACTTCCCTCTTCAGAGCCTTTTCTTTTTTTTTTTGAGACAGAGTTTTGCTCTTGTTACTCAGGCTGGAGTGCAATGGCACAATCTTGGCTCACTGCAACCTCTGCCTCCTGGGTTCAAGCAATTCTCCTGCCTCAGCTTCCCCGAGTAGCTGGGATTACAGGCATGTGCCACCACGCCCGGCTAATTTTTTATTTTTAGTAGAGATGGGGTTTCTCCATTTTGGTCAAGCTGGTCTCAAACTCCTGACAGGTAATCGCCTGCCTCGGCCTCCCAAAGTGCTGGGATTACGGGTGTGAGCCACTGCGCGCAGCCCTCAGAGCCCTTTAATGACCACATGCATAGTTTTCTATTGTAGGAAAAGCCATTTTGTATTGCATTAATTCATGTCATTATTTTGAAGACATCTCTTGGTCCTTTTTTTTTTTTTTTCTTCTTTTTGAGACAGAGTCTCGCTCTGTCCCCCTGGCTGGAGGGCAGTGGCGCGATCTCGGCTCACTGCAAGCTCCGCCTCCCGAGTTCACGCCATTCTCCTGCCTCAGCCTCCGAGTAGCTGGGACTACAGGCGCCGCAACCGCGCCCGACTAATTTTTTGTATTTTTAGTAGAGACGGGGTTTCACCGTGGTCTCGATCTCCTGACCTTGTGATCCGCCCGCCTCGGCCTCCCAAAGTGCTGGGATTACAGGCGTGAGCCACCACGCCCGGCCGGTCCTTTTTTTTTTTTTTAATTGAGATGGAGTCTCGCTCTGTTGCCCAGGCTGGAGTGCAGTGGCGAGATCTCAGCTCGCTGCAGCCTTTGCCTTCCGGGTTCAAGTGATTCTCCTGCCTCAGCCTCCCAAGTAGCTGGGACTACAGGTGCGTGCCACCACACCCAGCTAATTTTTGTATTTTTAGTAGAGATGGGATTTCACCATGTTGGCCAGGATGGTCTCCATCTCTTGACCTTGTGATCTGCCTGCCTCAGCCTTCCAAAGTGTTGGGATTATAGGCGTGGGCCCTTTTTTTTTTTTTTTTTTTTTTTTTTTGGACGGTGCGACCCGGCGGGGCGTGGCCACTGCGCCCCCCCCCCCCCCCCCCCGCCCCCCCCCCCCCCGCCCCCCCCCCCCCCCCCCCCCCCCCGGCCCTCCTTGTCCTTTTTATGTCATGTCTAAGAACTCCTCACCAGGTTTTAGGTCCTTAATATTTTCTGTCGTATTTCCTCTTACAAATCTTATCTTCTACATTTGAATCTGATCCATGTTAATGTTTGTATTACAGTATGAACCGTAGTTGAGTGTCTTTTGTTGTTGCCCATGAATTTTTTTAAGCTCCATTTGTTGAAAAGACTATTCTGCCTCTATTGAATTGCTTTTACACCGTAGCAAAATTTAAGTATATTCATATTGGTCTATTTCTGGGTTCTCTATGTTATGCCACTAGTCTTTGAGCCTAAACCTATGCCAGTACCACTCTATTTTGATTACTGTTGCTAGCTAGTAAATTTTAAAATAGGATAAACTTATTCCTCACTCTTTGTTCTTTTTAAAAATCGATTTGGGGCCGGGCGCGGTGACTCATGCCTGTAATCCCAACACTTTCGGAGGCCGAGGTGGGCAGATCACGTGAGGTCATAAGTTCAAGACCAGCCTGGCCAACATGGTGAAACCTCATCTCTTAAAAAAAATACAAAACCTAGCCAGGCAAGGTGGCAGGTGCCTGTAATCCCAGCTGCTTGGGAGGCTGAGGCAGAAGAATTGTTTGAACCCGGGAGGCGGAGGTTGCATTGAGCCGAGATGGTGCCACTGCGCTCCAGCCTGGGTGACAGAGCGAGACTCTGTCTCAAAAAATAAATAATAAAAATAAAAAATAAAAATTGATTTGGCTTTCATATCAGTTTTTTCCTTTGGCTTTGCATATATATTGCATGTTTGTCTCTACGAAATATGTTGCTGGGATTTTGATATAAATTACCTTAAATCTAAAGATCATTTTGGTGGGAATTGACATCTTGTTGAGTCTTGCAGTTCATGAATATGGTACGTTCCTCTGTTTATTGAGGTCCTTGATTTATTTCATAAGCGTTTTGTAATTTTCAGCTTATAGATTATGGACATATTTTAAAAATCTAGACAGTTTCTTAGGGGGTCATTATATGTTGTATTGAGTTTTATTTTTATTTTTTATTTTTTTGAGACGGAGTCTCACTCTGTCACCCAGGCTGGAGTGCACTGGCGCAATCTCGGCTCACTGCAAGCTCCGCCTCCCAGGTTCACACCGTTCTCCTGCCTCAGCCTCCCATGTAGCTGGGACTACAGGTGCCCACCACCGCACCCGGCTAATTTTTTGTATTTTTAGTAGAGACGGGGTTTCACCGTGTTAGCCAGGATGGTCTCGATCTCCTGACCTCGTGATCTGCCCGTCTCAGCCTCCCAAAGTGCTGGGATTACAGGCGTGAGCCACTGTGCCCAGCCTGTATTGAGTTTTAAATTTCAGTTTGCACTTGGTACTTGCAATTATAGAGAAATATATAAATTATAATTTTTATATGTATACTGTGACTTTGCTGAAGTCAATAGTTCTAGCAACATTTTTTGATAGCTTTCTTAGGATTTTCTTCCTTATAAATATTAATGTTATTAGCAAACATCTTATTTCTTATTTCTCTTTTTTTGAGACTCTTGCTCTGTCACCTAAGCTGGAGTACAGTGGTACGATCTTGGCTCACTGCAACCTCTGCCTGTCAGGTTCAAGCACTTTTTACCCTCAGCCTCTTGAGTAGCTGGGATTACCGGCACACTTCACTATGCCCAACTAATTTTTGTATGTTTTGTAGAGATGAGGTTTCACCATGTTGCCAGACTGGTCTCAAACTCCTGAGCTCAAGTGAGTCTCCTGCCTCAGCCTCCCAAAGTGCTGGAATTATAGGCATGAGCCACCACTCCTGGCCCAAACATCTTACTTCACCCTCCCAATCTATATTACTTTTATTTCCTTTTCTTGTGTTTATTGCACTAGCTGGAACTTCCAGTGTGATTTTGAATAGAAGTGTTGAAAGAGGACGTACTTGCCTTTTTCTTGATGTTTGGGAGAAAGCATTCCGTGTAGGCCGTGAAGTATGATACCTGTAGACTTTTATGTACGTGTTCTTTAGAAAGTTTCCCTTCTGAGTTGCTGAGGGCTTTTATTGTGAATGGGCATTTAATTTGCCAAATGCTCTTCCCCCTTCAATTGATATGATCATGTAATTTTTCTTCTTTAGCCTGTTAGGATGGATTGCTTTAACTGATTTTAGAATTTTTTGTTGTTTTTTTAAGACCAAGTCTCACTCTTTCACCAAGCCTGGAGTGCAGTGGTGCAATCTCGGCTCACTGCAACCTCCGCCTCCCAGGTTCAAGTAATTCTCTTGCCTCAGCCTCCTGAGTAGCTGGAACTACAGGCGTACACCACTATGCCCAGCTAATTTTTGAATTTTTAGTAGAGATGGGGTTTCACCATGTTGGCCAGGCTAGTCTCGAACTCCCAACCTCAAAGGATCCACCCACCTCAGCCTCCCAAAGTACTGGAATTACAGGCGTGAGCCACCGTGCCCAGCCAATTTTTGAATGTAGGCCAGCCTTGCACTCCTGGAATAAACCCCATCAGGTCATAGAATATAATTTTTTTTTTTTTTTGAGATGAAGCCTCCCTCTGTCACCCAGGCTGGAGTACAGTGGCACGATCTCAGCTCACTGCAACCTGTGCTTCCCAGGTTCAAGCGATTCTCCTGCTTCAGCCTGCCAAATAGCTTGGACTGCAGTCACGTGCCACCACGCCTGGGTAATTGGAATATGATTTCTTTTAATTACAACATTCCATTTGCTAGTATTTTACTGAGAAATTTTGTATCTGAAATCATGAGTATTCCATCTGGCCAAATAATGTGGCTGGAATTTCCCCAAAAGTGGCAGAGGGGTTCCCACAAGGGACTGTTTCAAAAAGTCCTGAGATAGGACCTGTTGGAATTCCAAGGAAAGGAGCATAAAACACCAGGGTAATCAGTTCAAATCATTTCTCGGAGGAATTTTCATATGGGGTTGGGGGGCTGCAGTGTGTCCTTGTGTTGGACAGCAAACAAACAAAAAGCGCTACTTGTGTACGTCTGCGATGAGAAGTTTGGGTTAGAGAGTATACGAGGGCGTAAGGAACTTGGCTCAGATACAGGGCCGGTTTCTACATGCTTAGCAACGTGTTTGATCTCTCAGTATTTAGGGCAACAATGTAACTTTGTCAGTGCCCGGGCATTCCAATCCCTAGCTTACATTTAAGCCTGCAGGGAAGACACACAATTGGTCCGGGGTCACAGAGCTGTCGAGGCACCTTGCATTTTCTAGGTCAGGACACGGAAGGCAGGGGAGTTGGGGACCACGACAATGAGCAATACTGGTCAGTAGTTTTATTTTTTTGTTTCCATTTTATCTGACTTTGTTGTTTGGACTAATACTGGCCTCCCAAAATAAATTGAGAAGTTTTCCTCCAGTGCCACCCCCCTTTTATTTGCATGACATTTGGTAGAATTGGTGTCGTTTCTTTTAAGTATTTGGTATAATTTTTTGGTGAAACCATTTAAGTCTGAAGGTT